GGGAGATGACTTGGTCTACTGTTTATCACGGAATTTATAGGGCCCAATAATCTTGCTCAGCCATGCACACACACAGAAAACTTGTGTTAACCAGCAGCCTCAGAGGGGAGGGGTTTTCAGTGCTCACTTGAAAAGAGGAAGCAGGACCACAGGATGGTAGCAGGACTGAGGGGGGCTCAGGTTCCAGTCAATTCAGGGAAAGCGCGCTCTTCTCGTCGGAGGGGCCAGGCACTGGAGCAGGCCGACTTTCGGGAGGTGAGTGTGACGCACAGGGCAGGGCTCAGCAAGTTGATGACCCTTGGTTGTTGGTATTAAAATATGATCTATGACCCTCCTTCACCAGTCTTTGTCAACCTAAGGCCAAGAGGTAGAACTGGAACCCGGAATCAGGGACAAAACTGATTTTCTCTGCCCATTGGCTGTGGAGAACAGTAATTCCCAGATAATGGCTATGATCCATCACTCATGAAATCTTTGCAGATATAACCAAACACAGGAGAGATTTGTATGAAATAAAGAAGTATGAGACAGGAGCCAAAGAGACTTGTTTTCCGTGATGTTCCAGCACTCACTCCCTGTGTTCATGTAATCTTTCTGGTCTGAGGTGTCATTTGTAAGGGGAGGGGTTTGGAGCAGAAGACTCCACAGGTTGCTTCAACCATAATCATTCCAGGATTAGATTCTAGTGAAGTAGGATCTGCCTGCAAACTACCACCCTTCAAATGCTTGCAGGTGAGCTTCCCAAACCAGAGCTGCTTCTGTGGGAATGGCAGATGCGCTATGAAGGGGATTTATGCTGGAAGGTCAACTTGAATCAACTAATTTCTCAAGTACTTCTAGTTATAATAGACTGCCCCTTTGGCCATATTACTTGTGAGTAGTTATGAAGTATAAAAGTATAAATTGACTAGGGGCTACGAGTTCAAATACCTTATTTTTAAATGTATTTCTAAGATCGGTAACCCCATTCATACACAATAAATATCGTTGAGCCCCAGATTGGGTATATGCCAGCCTCATGACCTAAGCAAGGAAGAGCTGCTGAGAGTCTAGGTGGTGGATGGGCCTAAAATAAATGAGTACAACCCCAAGTGGTCAGTACTCCACCAGGAATGTATAGAGTGCTAGGGACCCTTAGGGAGGAACCAGTGTATTATCTAGCTAAGGAATACGACATTTCTAAATGCATTTGTTTTCAGGGCGTACAATAAAAGTCTTATTTTGAACACAAAGTTGTCCACATATTATAAAGTCAATTTTTCTAAGACCCTATTAAATAAATTGTTGACTGAATATCTGAAGGATAGATGTTTGACATCCTGAATTATCAGCCTCCCACACTGAGTGCCTGTCTGCCTTTGTCTGGCCCAGCTTTCTCTAACACATTTCTCTGGTTGTCTTTCTTTCCTTTCAGGGGGTTTGAGCCCACATGCTTTGGTAACTTTTTCTTCTTTCACCATGCATACTTCAGTTAATTTGACAGGAGGCAAATTCTCACTTCTGTCTTCTAATTCCTGTCCAGTTACCACAGGAACATCACTTCACCTAAACAGAGCCTTTCTTTTGATTAATAAGCATAAAATTAGAGCTGGTGATTGGTAGACTGATGCCAAACAAAAAAAAAATGTAGTGCCAGCCATCTTCTTATAACCTGTGTGGCAAGCTATGAGTTGACCCACTGTACAAATGAAGACACTTAGATAAATGGAATTGTCAGGCAGTTGTGGCTCAGTGAGGAATTTCCTTACATGGCAGTAGGTAGGCCTTTAGGGCTGACATGGCCCCACACCAGTCTAACAGCACAGGGGCAGGGAGGGGGCCAAAGTCTTCTTTGCTCCTGTGACCTGGTGCATGTATTGCCTGTGCGTGCAGTATGAACCGCCACAGCGGGAAGGCCTCCAGGAGGAACCAGGCAGCATGTGGGCGGCTATCTCCTTGCTCACTTGTATTCTAGTGGGGAAAATCTTTTGCACTGTTGGTTGGCCTGTTTAGTTGAGGTGGTCAGTTGTCCCTTCTTAGCCAACTTCAAACCTGTTTTCATCTTGTTGTTTGGCCCGCCTCACTTTGCAATCTCTCATGAGATTCTTTACATAAGTCTCTACTTACCTCTCATCTCTTATTAAGCTGCTTCCTCAAGTCCCATGTGTCAGATAAATATGTTATATTATTCTTGTTTAATTGTCAGTTCAAAACCACTTTGTCTCTTGGCAAAATAATACAAATTTCTACTATCTTACAGATTAAAATGGCATTTTAAGTTTAGTTTGACAAACTACCATTTAGTGAATGTGTCACTTGGAAATATGTTTAGAACAAAAAATACTTAATAACTGGATAAAGCTATTTAAGCCTTCAAAATTTAAAACATGGGGTAATTAAAATATAGGTGATGGAATAACCTGATTAGTTAATGAATGACATTTACTCTACGTCAGTTTAAGAAAAAATTTCCACTATATTTCAGGCTTATAGATGGACTCCTGAATGGCCAATGATGATAGCATTCAGTGCAGGAGGTTGATATCAGATTCTGCTCATTTAGTGCCTAGGTGATAGATTGGGCTTATTCACACTCCATTTAGGTCACAACGCTGTAGTCTGGATGGCATTATCTTCCTTTTGGAGGAGACAGACAGTTTGAGGAATTTCCTGTGAGTCAAACAGCATAGATGGTGGGGCAATATACATATTAGTTATTATTATTAAAAAAATTACAAATACATGCTTATTGTAGAAAATTGAGAATACAGATTTTGAAAAGAAAATTCCTTTATAATTCTATCAAGTAGAAAACCATTGACTATTACTGTACTGTATTATTTCTGCATAAAATGCATAATACATATGTATTTACTTATAAAACTGAGATGATACTGTTTTGTAGCCTCCTACTTTCAATTAGTGGTACATCATGAACATCTTTAAAGCTTCTGCAACATTACTTTATTGGATACAAAAAAATCCAATATTTTTTATATGCCATGAAATATTTAATAAAACTCCTTAACACTGAAACTTTTGGTTGAAGTGTTTGTGATAAATGTGATACACATTCTTTAAGCAAAATCTTTAATCATTTCATGTATTTTCTTGTTTAAGTTCCTAGAAGTATAATTGCTAGGTTGAAGGCTATGAACATTTTTAATGGCTTTACTGTATGTGGCCAAATCAGCTCTAGAAATATTATTAAACCAATTCACACTCCCACCAGCAATACAAACTTCATTACTCCATACTCTTGTGCAAATTAAGAAAAAACATATATTGCAACAATATTTCTTTACTTGTGAGATCAAATTTTTTCACTTTACTATTTCATTTTCTTCTTTTCCTTAAATTTTGCTTTAAATGCTAAATAAAAAAACCCCCACAAAAAAACAAAACTCTGTGATATTGTGCTATTACTGTATCTCCTCTGAAGAAAGAAGAAAAACATGGTATTGTCTGATAGCAAATTACTTACAGAGTGAAAACAAATGAACTGGATGAGACACCTGAGCCCATCAGGTGTATTTCCATGATGCTCGTCACCATAGCACAGAGTCATGGATTTCTGTCTTCATTTTAGTACTGCCAACATGCATCCTTAATAGGTTTTAGACCATGTACTGTGGACAAGAGGTAGGAAGAACAAGAGGGACATTACATAGAAATTAATCTGACTTGAGTTCTATAAGGTAGACTTCAACCCTGAATTTTGGATGATTGTATGCAACTGCTTGCTGGAGATTTCCACTTGGATTGCCTATTTCAAATCCAGCATGTCCCAAACTGAATCCACCACCTGCCTCCGTAAACCTCCTCCTCTCTGTGTCACTCTTCCTCATTCCGTACCACAGCAATCTACCAAGAGTATCAATCCCCAAGGCTTAATCTTTCCTTCTAAATACATTTGTTTTCCCTTATATTTTCCTAATTTAGTCTTTTATAGTCTTAATCATTCAATAAATATTTTTGAGCACTTTCTTTCTATTTGCCATATCTTTTTCTAAATTTGGCAGGGGGACAGGGATGAAGGAGAAAAGATAAAGCCTTGCCTTTAGGGGGAAGCATTGAAGAGGTGGGGAGGTGAAACAGACAATAAGAAAGTAAATAACGAATCTGAGATTGAGATGACTGTTTTGAGGACTACTGAAGTTGCTTGGAGACTTAGAGAAGAGCCAGACAGGCCTCTGGTGAAAGCATTCTAGAACAGGGGCTATGGCAAGGCTAGGAGGCAGAAGATCTTAATAGTCTCAAGGAACAAGAAGGTGGGCATGTGGCTGGCATCAGGGAGAGCAGTTGGCAGAGTGAAATAATGTTTGCAGGCCTGAATAGTGTAACATTAAACAAGATGGGACACTTTTCAAAGTTTTTAAGTAGAGAAAAAATATGATGTGATTTACGTTTTTCAAAAAGAACACCATAACTACTGCAGGGGACAGGATCATAGGGGGGCAAAAGTGGAGGCAGAGAGATCAGCTGATAGGCCATTTGAGATACTTTGGTGATTTGGACCAGAGTGATGGCAATGGAGATGAAGAGAGTTGGCTAGATTTAAGGTATAAATCTATCCTCCCTGCACCTCAGAATACCAATTGACCTGCATGTTCTCTATAAAAATGCGCTCACTGCCACCTGGGCGCCCTGAAGGTGTTTGGCTAGGAGGCTCCTGCTCAGGGCAGTGGCACCCTCTGCTTCCCTCCCGAGAGCTGTGGGGCTACCAGGTATCAGTTTGTTTCCAAATTTGAGTATACCAGCTGTATTTAAAATTAAATTTTAAATGAATTTATTAACAGTATATGAAACAATGAAATATGAGAACAAATGATCATTTCTGGGAAAACTAGGCCAGATGTTTTGGAAAGACTTGGTAAAATTATAGGCAAGTTAGTATAGGACTGAAAAAACAAAAGTGTGAAAATTGTGCTCTCTCTCACCCATTCCGTCATGCATGTCTTCACTCTAGAGGAACCAAAGCCAGGATCAGGATCTATGTTAGGGGTGTGGCCTAGCAAGAGAGACAACCAGAAACTCATTAGTGAAGCCCTACCAAAGACGGGCCTTGAACCCCAATTAGGACACCGGCAAATGAACATATGTGCATTCAGTTAAAATCAAATAGTTAAGGTGTGTACCATGGCTTGTGTGTCCCTCTTTGACACATCACATCAGGTGGGTGGGACATCAGAGCATTTTGGAGCTAAAGTTGAAGTACTGAATGAAGTACGAAGTATTAGGGATAATGATGCTTGTCAGTTGGGCAAAAGCTGGAGCTGACTTCTCTGAGAAGCAGCTGAAACTCTAGACTTCTGCTTGCCAATCTTTGCCCTCCTTCCTGGACCTCTCATCCCCATAACTCACCAAGACAAACATTATTATCACATTTACCACAATGCTGTAGGATGTACAGATCAGCTGCATAAAAAGCCATACCATTCTGTACTCCTTGAAGGGATCCTTTAAGGGATCAAGTATTTCTCAATAATTTTTATAACCAAAAAGTCAACACACAATAGATGCTCCATATTTGTTGAATGAGCAAATGAAAGAAGAGGCTGTCTACTTTAATCTTTTGAAATGAGAAATTTCTTTGTAAATATTTAATGCTGTTACATCCATCCTACACGGTTATGGGCTGAATGTTTTTGTCCTCCCCAAATTCCTATGTTGAAGCCCTAACCCCCAGTGTGGCTGTATTTGGAAATACGGCCTCTAAGGAAGTGATCAAGGCTAAGCCCAAGTCAGGTCATAAGGGTGGGTCCCTAATCCAAGAGGACTAATGTCCTTATGAGAGACACCAGGGAGTGTGCACTCCGCACGCACATGCACCAAGGCAGCTGTCTGCAATCCCGGGGGGGTGTCCTCACCAGATACCAGCCCTGCTGTTGCCCTCGTGTTGGCACCCCGCCTGCAGAACTGTGATGAAATAAACTTCTGTTGTTTAAACCACCTAGTCACTGGTATTTTTTTAGAGCAGGCTGTGCAGAACAATGCATTACAGTTGACCCTTGAACAACATGGGTTTGAATTGTGTGGGTCCACTTATAAGGGGATTTTAAAGAACAAGTGCAGTACAGTACTATATATTTTTTCTTTATGATTTTTTTTTGGGGGGGTCCAAATCAAGTCTTTATTGCAAGTGGCAGAAGCCTCTCAATGTTCTCTGAACACTAACACCTTAACCTCAGAATACTTAGGGAGCCAAGGGACACAGTTTTCTTAAAAACAAAACATTTTGGCTGACTCTAGTACTTAGAAGACTCGTACCTCATCTGACACCGTAAATCAAATTGATGACCACTGCGAGTCACTGTGGAACCCGGGCTGGGAGATGGGCCTGCTGCATAGGGAAGAAGGCAGATCTGCCCTGACCATCTTTGCTCCTCAGTCTGGGTGGCCACAGGACCCGGGGAACCCACAGTGGGGATGGCTCAGAAAAGAGGGGCTTGAGAAGACCTAGCCACTGCCTCTGCAGGCTGCATGGCCTCTCTGTGGGCCCTTTGCTGCCAGTGGGGAAGTGAAATCGGGACAGCCCTCTGCATAGGTGGGGACAGGGTAGCTGGGAGGAGGGGTGCTGTGACCTGGCAGGACACAGCAGAAGTGGTTCCACGCCAGCCCAGGGTTTTCTGAGCTCAAAACAAATACCCTTCTCTCCCTCTCCGCAAACAACAGCCCCCTTCCTCTAGTCATCTTCAGGTTTCTGTTGAGTTAAAAGCTCTGCACCTGCCCAACCAGGTGAGCTACCAGCTTGTGGAGATGCCGGGGCAGGACTCCTGGCCAGGCTGAAAGCAATCCTGGAGCCCCTGCACCCTGCTGCTCTGTGTGCGCTTCACTGTGAGCTCTCAGAACAGGCCGGCTGGCGCGCATAGGTGCTGGACCTCGGATGCCTCTCGACCCGCTCTGCAGACTCCTGAGGGTGGCACGGGGACGTCCAGATTGGGCCCTGCTCTCCGTCCTCGACTTCACCAATGAGGAGCTTCCATCTTCCATCCAATTAAGATAGGTTTTATCTTGGTACAATTAAAAAACTACAATTTATAGTGGCTTCACAAGCGGCTGCAGTCTCTGTGATTCTCTTACTCTCCCCTCATGCTTGTCAACACCTCACATCTGCAAGATGGTTTCCACAGTACCTCTGGACATCACCCGAGTTCAAAACAGGGGAAAGGGGAAAGGCTGAATCAGCAGCATGCTTCCCTCCCAGAGGAAAAGTGAGAGATTTCCCAGAAGCTACGAGCAGACTTCCATTTGTCTCACTGGCCATAATGGAGTCAACAGGCTCAACCTCATTACAAGAAGAGCTGAAAAACAAGTATTAAGTTTATCCAACTCCTAGTTTGGAGGTGGCAAAGGAGAAGAGGAACACAAATACCACTGTTAGTCAATGAATGGTGTCTCCTATATGGGGAACCGTAAGACTGGACTGGCAGATCAGTTAATACTAGAGCAAGTCTTCCAGTAATGGGTTTCATCCAAGCTGGGCTTTACATTTCACACATGAACAGAACACTTTAGCCACCATTCAACTAACACTAATATCTCTCTGATTGCAATTGACAAGGTTGCAAACACTACATTAGCGTATTTAGTCTATACTTAGTCTTCAACTGTACCTACTACAATAAAACACTATCTTTCATCTGTTCAGTAGACATTGGCTGTTAGTTTTTTATCGTTGTTTTGTGTGGAGATAATGACATTTTTCTACTTTTCTGTCAAAGATAAATATAAAAAAGTGGAATGTGCAGTCTGTTCTAATTTGAAGCTATGGTTAAAGCCATAATCTGAGTTCATCAATATTGTGCCTTGGCCAAGAACTTACCATAGCTTACCACCAGCTATCTTTCCTACGTCAGCACTCCACACTCACTGAGGTTGCTTAAAGGCATCTTTTAAAGGGAAGAATAATTTAGCTTTGTGTAATTCCTGGCACCACTTAATGGTGCCATAGTTGTGTCAATACTGTGACCAGTTCTTACCTATTGTACTCTAAAATGTCATTCAAATCTGAGACTTTATCAGTACAAAAATACCTCTGTTCTAATAGAAGATCTAAAATAGAGAAGAAAATTGGAGTTACGAGGTATTCAGATAGAAAAATAAAGTCATACTTATAACACAAAAGCATTACTCATAAGGGTTCTATATAGTAGCTCTAGTTGAACTATAATTTGGCTTAGAGCTGCCCCAAAAACAAAACAAAGAAGAAAACAGTAACAGAGTCTGTAAGATAAAAACCAATCTTTTAGAAGCACAGGCTTTACTGGTACCAAGACCAAAGAGAATTTTCTCCCTTAAGTCCTTACAAAAGGTATATGGTGTGATTTAGTAGTTACCAAGCTAAAAGCCATATATATTGGAAATTGAAGTTTTGATATTGTTTTCGCTAGTAGAAGCCAACAGCAGAGAAGAAAAAATTCAAAGCAATAAAGGCAATTCCACCTCTTGTTATTAAGAACCAAAACGAGGATCAAATATGTAGCTCTTTGAAAATCTCCCAGAGGGTTAAATTTGGATTTTTCTAAACTAGTTGGGAATACAAACTTGTTTTAACATAGTCCCAAAACTCCTCTATTCCTATAAGTAACAAAATTCACTTCAAGACCAGACAAATAATTCTTAGACCTAGGGTCACTGTTTCCTTCTAACATCACAGACAGGTGAGGCAGACTACATAGGTGATTTATCTGAGGAACATGGTTTTCTAAGTAAATGCACTTTAAATGGCTAATCTTACTATAGTATACAGATAAAAAACACATTTTAAAATGGTAAGTTTTATGGCTGTATTACCTATAAGTGAACTTAATTTTTAAAAGGGTAAAAGAGTATCCACAAAAGTATTTTCTGTTTCAGTTCTGTTCAATTTTTTTTATTAATATTGGTTACATTTGAAGTGCATTATACTATTCACAAAGACTTAAAATGATTGGCATTATAAACTTAAAAAAAAAGGAAAATCAGACTCATTCCTTATCTGTGAAATGCAGCAGTTAACCATAATTAAATTCACAATAATTTTAAGAGATGAACATAGAAACTAAAGGGGAAAACTGTATTCAAGATCTGAACAACACAGCTACTGTTGTTTTGAAAAAATAATTTATTGAATGAATATAATACTGGGAAAAAAATCCATTATAAAAGTAAAAAAAGTAAATCCCAAATATAAATAATAATGGTTTATCTAACTAACAAGAGTTTTTCTTTGCCCATCCAAAACTAAATACAATCTTCTGAAAGACCAGATTTTGAAAGTGTATTTTGTAAGTCTTCACTTTAAGACAGAGACTATATAGAACTATAATATCTGGAATTTAGCAAAGATAATTTTTTTTAATTAGACTAAAAATAATATTAATTTAAATAATTATTCTTTTTTAAATCTTTTTAAGTTTAGAATAGTATTTTGAAATGAATAAGCAGATCAGTTTATTATATTCTTTCTGTCTCCCAAGATAGTAAACACATTTTTAAACACTTTGTGGAAAATAGATCTGAAAGCATACCTGTGCATTTTGAAGACTTTATAATTGTTTGTACTTTGGTAAAAAGCATCTTCCTTTTTAGATCAAGGTTAACAACAGCCATTAATTTATATGCATCTGTTAATGTCAGTAGCATTTTAAACAACCAAATCTTAATATCTACACCAAGATACTAATAAACTTGTAGATGGTGAAGAAAAAAGAAATGGAGATTGTTATTCTATTTCCCCAGTTGTTTCCCTCAGTTTGTAGGAAGCATATGCAGTTCCATATACCAAATGGGATTTCAAAATGCTAGCAAGATTACAATGCTTTATTAACAGCAAAATGCAAAACAGCAAAAACAGAAAATAAATGAGCTACTTCATACTATAAAAATGAAACAAGGCACTTATAAGCAAAGCTGAAATAAACATTTTTCCATAAAACTCACAGACAGACCCTTCGAGACTTTTGTAAAAAGTGAAACAGTGAAGGCACTACATAATTCTTTTCCCTAACTTTACTTCCTAAAGAAATTCACCCATTAAACTTGGCACAAAATAGTTTAATTATTATAAAGTGCATCACCTGGGTAAATATATTAAAAAGAAAATCAGTCTTAATACCTTATAGCAACATATTCACATATATGGAAAAACAAATGCAATGCCGGCAGTTAATATAGTTAGGGCTATTTATATTTATAGTATATATGGCTTTTTATTTTTTATATAACTCCCTATTTGCTTACAATCTATATTTTCAGAAGAGTATGCCTTGATTAGCAAAAAGAGGTAGTATTCTGAAGGAGGCAAACTCACTGATTCTACAGGCAGAGATTTAAGATAAAGATTATGTAGAAAATAGACAAGTGTAATAAAATAAACTGGGACACTTATTATAGTATTTTTATACGAATGAATTAGCTTTTAAAATCAAAGCTATTTTTACCACTTTAGTTATGTTATTATAGCTCTTCCATTTTTCCTTTGGTATTACAAAGTTTTCTTCTTCTTTTAAATAGCAGCAACATTCTAAAGGGGCAATTTTTATTTAGAGATGGTAAACACGTCAATATTTAAGACTCAGTACATCTTTACCAGTGATTTAAACCATAAATAAAAATATACTGTGACAGATACACAGAAGTATATACCAATCCGATAGGAACATGCAATTAATGTCCATTTACTGGTGATTTAAACACGAACCACACACATCCAGAGTGCATGCACACACTATCAGTTTGGAAGAATATATTGGCAAAACACCAAAATAATTTATGCCCAGTATTTACAAATGTGGGTTTTGCTAACAGAACTCTAGATTTGTTTTAGTGTATTAAATACAAAGTTTGGATAAAAGATAATGCAAAGCAGCACTGAACATATTTCCTTCCCAATAACTTAAAGAAACTATGTAAACTTTATACATGTGCAGTCTTGCTCTTTTTTGTAAATGCTTCATTCTTTTTTGTTTTTTAATTTGCCATTCATCTAAATTTGCTGAAACATAAAAATGGAAGGAACTGCTTGTGATGTATTAGTCTTCTTCAGCATTACATGCCACTTCTGCTACTTCTACGTCTGATAGAATGTTCAGGTTCACTAAAACTAAAGCATGGCTGATTATCAGCTCTGCAAAAAAAGAAGAAATACATCAATGAAAATATTGGATATATGTAACCTTTCAAAATTGTTTTTACCTCATGTAAAGAATATTACATTATTTAATGAAAAATATTTAGTGGAAAAGAATGTTTACATATTCAATGAGAAATTCAATATTTTCAAGCTGTCATTCCCAGATAACATCACTGGAGATATATTTTTAACTCTTTTAGCTCTCCCACTACCATATTATCAATAAAAAACCTAGTTTGTAATGACCTTTCCCAACATAAAATTTGTTCATGTAATTATAGCTGAACCACTACCATTAAAGGATTATTATGATCTTAGATTTCTATGTGATAAAAATTCTGTGTGCTTTAAAAAATACTATCTTTTCATTGAGAGGTTATGGCAGTTGCTATTATAATGTCCACTCTTTGAATGGAAAAAGACTGACACTGAGGGAGATTAATTTGTCAAGATTTGCAAAATTAATGAATTAACTCACAGTCCTGTTAATTCAGAAATATTTTCAAAATACGTAATGAGAAAATTTGCAGTCAGGATGCTAAAGACTCATTTTTAGGGACAGTCTTGATTATCTACAGTCTTTCTCTGCTCAGCCAATTCATGATACAAAAACCCTGAGTTCATAAAGAAGTACTCTCTATAGAGTATTATGCCTACTTCCTGCCAATTACTTGGATGGTTAGGTTATAATGAACCAAACATTATTTACCTAGATTCTTCATCTAAGACATCTTGATCAACCTCAAGTGCAGAGGACTCCACCTTTAGGATCTGTCCACCTTCTTCTGTTACTGACACATGCATTGATTCTTCAGGTTCTAAAGACAATGTTCTAAAAGTAAATTAAGCATCAAGTTATTTTCTATGAGTAGAAAATGTATATGTTTATTGTTATATGTGAATTCATGTAGGTTTAGCAGCCTTCGGTCATTCTTAATGTCTATTTCCCCAGTTGTTTCCCTCAGTTTTTAGAAACTAATAAGCTAATAAACTGCTGACTTGGAATCAACAGAGAATTCGTACTTATGATTAATTTAAAATAATTTGTAATATCAATTCACTACATGTTGATGAGAAAATAAACTAGATCTTTCATATGTGGAAAGTTGGCATAAATGCCTAGAAAAAAGACACCATTTAAATAGGTTAAAATGCATAATGCTTATCTTGTTGAATACCCAGAGGCTTATTTTCCTGGAGTTTCCACCCTTCTAATAAATAATCAAAGACAATTTTCCCAATCTATAACAAAGTAAACCAAGAGTCTAAGATTTCTGGAATCAGAAATTTCCTAAATAATAAAATACAAGGGCATTTGGCCCAGCATATTAAGAACTGAATAGACTAAAAACACAAGTTTTAGAACACACCTGATTCTGTCCTCAAGGGTGTCTATATGAAGTTGCTTCTCATTAAGCAATTTCTTCAGTGATTCTACCTCTTTTTGTTTTTCAAGTAGTTCTTTTTGAAAACGGTAGTTTGTTTCTTCTAAAGTTTCACAGAAGGCCTTGAAAAAAAACAAAAAAACACAGTGGAAAAGAAGAAAATTACTGGTGCAGTTCCTTTCTTAGGAACATTGTTGCAGAGCCAAAGAGCACAATAATCAAAATAATAGGTAGCAGCCCAACCTGTTAGTTCTCTACTTTTGTATTTGTTCTCATCTTTCTAGGTCTCTGCTATCTAGGTTCTCCTAGTCCCCACCTACCAGGAGGTCTTATAGCTACATGCCCCCTTTCCTGAGTAACACAGGGCGCCTGAAATGAAAATGTGAAAACCCTCTGGTGCAGAATTGGGGAAAAAAATTACTAATGACCACTGTTTTAGTTTCTAGTCTCCTTAGCCTTATTTGTGCCCAGTCCTAGGTGAATACACTTAAAAAAAACCACAACCCCAAACTGGCTATTGATTTGTTTTGTATTAGCTCTGAAGACACACTATTTTAATACCCCCAACATTGCTTTCCCCTTGCTTCTCCTATCACCATATTCACTCCAACTTGACATTCTGTCCTTTACACCCAGGATGCTAAATACCGCTGAAATAAAGATTAAAACAAATAAACAAAATCACACATACCATGAAGAATGATGCCATAAAAAATATCTGAATCATTTACCTTGATGAGGTTTTCAGTGCCACTTATCAATGGTTCTTAGTTATCTACCACTCCCTGTCTCCTCCTCCATGACTATTTTAAACCTTCACCCATGGCAAATCCTCTACAATATCTGAACTATCTGAACTATCCCCAGAATCTGAACTGTCACCTGCATCCTGTTCTTGTCCTTAAGAACATGATTTTTCAAGTTAAACCCTATTTTCTGTGGAAGCTTGCCCTCTCCATACATTCTCTCTTAAATGTTCAATCATTTCCTCTTCTAGCCTCTAAGTTTGCTAAATAAACTTTACTGAAATTCATTAATAAGTAAACCCTAGAAATGTCTCCATATAAAAACAAAATCATTCACACCACCCTCTTGTGTCTCTTCCTAATGCATTTCCTTCCTTTCAAAATAAAAAAGTTTTTTTATCAACCAAATTTAACTCCCCTTTCACTTCTAAAATCATTAAATTTTCTCTACTAATGATGCCCAGGCAAAGGCTAACAATGACCTTCTAATTGTGAAATCCAAAGTTCTGTTTTTCTTACCTTCATAGCAAATCACTACTGCCTTAAATTAAAAAATTTTAAGTGGGATCCTCTTTCATTGGCCTATGTAAAACTTCCTGGTTTGCCCCCTCACTTTGACAGTTATTTCTTAGCCTTCTACCTGTTCTGTGCACACAGGCATTTATCAGAATTTTGTCCTTGATTATATGTTCTCCTGCTCTGTATGCCATCTCTGCGCAATTAGCACTTACTGTTATCATTTCACCTACCATCTATATACTATGTACTACAGATTTTCAATGTTGCCATTTTTGTATTTGTATTTTTTGTTAATCTGTAGTCCAGAACTTTCTCAAATACACAGACATCATTCATATACCTACTGGTCCACTCCAACTGAATGTTCCAATGGTAGGTCAAACAGTGTTTCCAAGGGAACATCTGCTCTACCACCTACTCAGCTAAGCCACCAGGCAGGCATCTTAGTCACTCCATTTCTCTTAATTTCAATGGCTCAAGGTAACCCAGTCTTTTCCACTTTTCTCTTCCTCTTCCCTGCCTCCCCACTGCCTCATAAATATTTCCTCTTTTGTCATTTACTCTCTATACTCATTTCTGTTGTTTTTAGTTCTTAACCAAAGTGCCATATCAGTAAATTATGAAAAAAAAATGTTTTCAATTATCATGTAAATAGAACATAAGACCATAAAGAAAAATAACATAAATGAACAATGAATAACTTCCACTGATAACAATAAAGATAAACTAGGTAAACTAAGGCCTCCAGTTATAAAATGCCTAGCTAAAAACCCAACTTAAAAATAGCTATGTGGACAATAAATAGAAATAAACATCAGGGGGCACAAATGGAGAGAAATAAAAGTAAGTGTCATCACCATGAGCACTGACATGATAACTTCAGGGAGTGGGAGAAGAAGGGGTGAGGAAAGGTTGCTCTTGGTAATCCAAACCTTGAACACCAGGATGGAAAAACAGATACAGAGTCAGCCACATTTTGAGGGGTTAAGGATAAGAAATGAGATACTCAGGATAAAGTAAGGGCCCTAAGGAACTAAGCCATTAATAAAAGTCACTCATCAACATAGGAATGCATCAAGAAAGACTGGTTTTTCATCCTGGCCTTTAGGTGGAAGACATTAAGTCTTTCCTGAAGAATCTATAACCATGGGCTAATGCCTCATGTGGATTTGGGGTTTGAATTTATATATCACAGTTGGTCAGAAACACCTAAGTTGAGAAACGAGCATAAAAATTGTCCAGGTTCAACAATACTCAAGTTATCTCTGTAGAAGCAAAGAAACTCTTAAGGAAGAATATACCCTCAAACTCAATGTTCAGGGTTCCTACAGACAATGTTCTAATCAAAGTGAATTTAAAGTCACAAATTACAAAACACACTGGGAAATCATACAACATAAGAGAGAGTAAACACATCCAAAAAACAGAAGGATTAGAATCCCATAACCTTCAGATAACAACTAATAGAGACCAAAAAATATGAATGTGTATGACTGGAAGGTAGGTAAAAGCCACTTATTATAAAACATCAGGTAGCCAGATAAGGAGGCTCAAGATAGCACTGGAAATCTCCTCACAAAACAATATATATTTTTGAAAATACTACAAATACAACTATGCCTAAAAGAGAGACCAGAAGATACAGTACAACAACCAGGCTACATCTACATCTGCAAGAACTCAGCATCTCACGAAAAGGGTAAGATACAAAAACTGATTCAGCAGGCCCCAAACACTCCCCCCACCCAAGCTCACCGGTGGGAGGAAAGAATCAGAGAGGGGTGGGAATGGAAGCACAGGACTGCTAAATAACCAGCCCAAGTAATCTGCACTGGGAGCACAGACACACATTGCATGGTGTACTGGATATGAGAGAAACAAAAAAGTAAAATCCAAGACAGAGACTGCGAGTGGGTCCCCACAGCCAGCTGCCCCGGATAAAAAGAAAAGTAGGTACTTTTTTAAAAGTCTTAAAGGGACAAGGGCTTAACAGCTCGACAAAATCATCCCGGCACACACAGCCCAGCAGGCTGGTAATCCTAAGGAACTTCAGGGGTGCCAACCCTCTGGTAGGTAACCCAGCTGCAAAGCCCCTCACGGTGATAAGCCACCTGCCATTCACTCCCCTTGGCCAGTGCTGCAAGCAAACCGGCTGACCCACCACAGTGGCAGAGCAGCCGGAGAGTGGCCTCGCTCACAGCAACGACGTAGAGTCTCCTCCCAGTGCGCAGCTAATTTGCCCAGCACAGAGAGAGGAAGCTGGAGCAAGGTCCAGAGGGCAGGAAGGGGTGCCGTTCTCGCAGGAGAACATACCCTACGTGTCTCTCACACTCCGCAGGGCTCTGGGGTATCCTGAGGGCTGGCTGGCCCATGGCAGCTGAGGAGATTATCCCAGAAAGTGCTCCCTGTCTGTGGGTAACTGACACAGGCAGTGGAGAAGGGAAAGGCAACCAGCAAGCAGGAAGGGACTTTGTTCTCCCAGCTGACACATATGCTACCTGCCTACAATGATCTTTATCACCATGAAAAGGCAGAAGGATCTGGTCCAGTCAAAAATCACTCAGACAAGCCCAAAGAGAGGGCCTGGTGAGATAGATACAACCAATCTTCCTGAAAAAGAATTCAAAATAAAGGTCATAACCATGCTGATGGACCTGCAGAGAAATACGCAAGAGCTAAGGGATGAGGTCCAGAGGGAGACAACAGAAAGGAAACAATCTCTGGAAGGACTTAATAGCAGACTGGATGAGGTGCAAGAGATTGTTAATGGAATAGAAATCAGAGAACAGGAATACAGAGAAGCTGAGGCAGAGAGATAACAGGATATCTAGGAATGAAAGAATATTAAAAGAACTGTGTGACCAATCCAAACGGAACAAAAAATTCACATAATAGGGGTACCAGAAGAAGACAGAGATAAAGAGATAGAAAGTGTCTTTGAAGAAATAATTGCTGAAAACTTCCCCAAGCTGGGGAAGGAAATAGTCTCTCAGACCCACAGATCTCCCAATACAAGGGACCCAAGAAGGACAACACCAAGACATATAATAATTATAACAGCAAAGATCAAAGACAAGGACAGAGTATTAAAGGCAGCCAGAGAGAGAAAAAAGATCACCTACAAAGGAAAACCCATGAGGCTCTCATCAGACTTCTTAACAGAAACCTTACAAGCCAGAAGAGAATGGCATGCTATATTTAATGCAATGGCCTTGAACCAGGGATACTGTATCCAGCACGATTATCATTTAAATTTGACTGGGCTTAAACAATTCCCAGACAAGCAAAAGTTGAGGAAATTTGCCTCCCACAAACCACCTCTACAGGATATTTTAAAGGGACTGCTCTAGATGGAAGCACTCCTAAGACTAAATAAATGACATCAGAGAAAATAAAATCACAGAAAAGAAAGCAGACCAACGAAATACTAACTAAAGGCAAAAAGTAAAATCAACTACTCACAAAAGCAGTCAAAGGAAACACAAAAGAATACAGAATAAAACACCTAACACATAAAGAATGGAGGAGTAAGAATAAGAAGGGACAGAAATAAAGAATCATCATAATGTGTTTATAATAGCTTAATAAGCGAGTTAAGTTATATGGTAAGATAGTACAGAAGCTACTTTGAATCTTTGGTAACCACGAACCCAAAGCCTGCAATGGCAAAAAGTACATTATCTTTCAATTATCACCCTAAATGTATATGGACTGAATGCACCAATCAAAAGACACAGAGTAACAGAGCAGATAAAAAAGCGAGACCCATCTATATGCTGCTTATAAGAGACTCACCTCAAACCCAATGACATACACAGACTAAAGGTGAAGGGATGGAAAAAGATATTTCATGCATA